ATATGCTTACCCTACCTATTTGTATACAATTTATGAAAAATTCATACTAAATTACCTTGTTTGTATATTGGTAAGCGAAATAAACAAATGGAGTTCTAAAAAATTTCTAAATGTATAAATACAGAATTCATATATACGTATAACCCTATTTGAATAGTCGCAAGCTAAATATATACAAACGGGCAGAGATATACAAACTGCAACCTCCATAGCAAACGGAATTAGAGTTATGGAGCGCAATTATCGAAACTATAACTATAGAGCCTTATTATGTGTATTATGTTTGTTATTTCTAAAATGTTCTCTAATTTATATGGGTATCCACTCATATTTACCCATTTTAAATGGGTTAAGTACCCAACTCATTTGAAATGGATAAAAATGACTAATACTCCTATTATCCATTTAAAAGTGCGTAGTTAAATGGATAAAAAATGTTCATTCATAAAAGAAAGAAAAGTGGTAGGGGGTTGATAGGGGATGGGGTGGTAAGAAAAACTTTTTAAAAGAATTAGTTTTTTTATAATAAAAAATAATTTTTTTTTTGGGATGGGGCGAGGGGTCTAGTAAAGGTGGGGGGCTGGTAGGGGTGGGGTGATAAAAAAAACTTTAATTTTTTATTATTAAAAAACAAACTAACATTTTTTTTACATTTTTTTGGGAGAGGGGGCTGGTAAGAGGTGTGGGGTGTGGGGTGATAAAAAAAAAAACTTTAAAAAGGTTTTGTTTTTAAAACTTTTAACAAGACCCCTACTATAATATGAGTACCCATATTATTCATTGGGTAACACGTTTTTAACCATTTAAAATATGAGTCGAGTCGAGTACTTTGTTCATTTTTGTTTAACTCAATTTCGATCGACTCATATTCAACACGACTCACTCGTTTGTCACTCCTAATTGTATCCAATATAAGAGATGATGAATACAGTTGTATTTGTTGTATTTCGAATACAATTGATACAAAATACAAAATAATTATGCATTAAATAAAAAATGGGTCCCACCTGAATATTATCATTTTACATGCATTTGTGGCGTTCGTGTATATTTATAATTTATTTCGTTCATTTTTATTTGTCCATTTAAACTTTTATATGTCTCTTAAATTATGATTAATATGAGTATTCTACAACAATAATCATATGAATTTAGAGGCGAATCTAAACCTTGAAAATAATTTGAAATAAGTAATTAATGTTGAGGATAAAATATAGAAAATAAAAAAAATTTCATGATATGCTAAAAAGTAAAAAGTAAAAGTAAAAATATATTTTTAATATAGTAGACCATAGATGTAAATGGTGGGATTCTACTATATGTCAATGGTAAGGTTCACCCAAACATTCAAAAACGAAGAAAATTTTATTTAGCAACTCTGTATTCTTTTTGTTGACATTAAAAAAAAAATAAAAAAATGTTTGTGCGGTCGCTCATTTCATTTAGCTTTGAAGTTATTTGTTTGACTATAAAAATTACGATTCATATTTTCTTCAAAATAAATTTTAATCCAAAGTTAAGTGTACTTGCGCGAGAGTAGTACTAGGATGATGACACCTGAGAAGTTCTCGTGTTGCATCCCTCTTTTTTGTCGAAATTAGAATGTGAAAATTTAAATATTTATGTTGCAAATTTAGAAAACAACTTATAGTTTATTTTCTAACTCACTTCTAAAATAGCAGTACATTCAAATACAAAAATTATTTCAAAACTATAAAAAAAAAATACATAAAGAGGAATCACACCCCTTTCACATTTAAAAAAAATAAAGGAATCACACCCCTTTCACATAAAAAAAAAAGGAATCACACCCTTCAAAATTGATAATACAATATGAAACACATTCCTTACAAGTTACATCCGCAAAATATGTAAGTTTGAGATAATCAATTCTTTAGCTATTGATGATTTCCTATTATAAGTAATGACAATTTTTATATGAAAACCCTAAAATTAAAGTGATATATACGTAAATACATATATATATATTATTAAAAAGAGAAATCATAAACTAAAATTACCTTAAACTTTGACAATGATGATTTCTCTAAATTCTTGACTTGAAGTTGGAGACTTGAAGCTTCTTCTTTGTGTGGAAAATAGAAAACAAATTTGAAGAGAGAAGAAAAATATTGTTGGAACTTGGAACTTGAAAAGTGTGTGGGAAGGAAACTTTTGAAGTCTTTTGACTTTTAAACTTTCAGAATTTAGCTTCTTCTTTTTTTTTAATGAAAAATGTGTTTTTAGTTAATAAAAATAAATTGAAGCGAATTTGGGCTGCCTGGGATCGAACCTGCGACCTGTGAGTTGAAATCTTGCAGTGGTACCAGTGAACCATCCAGCCATTTTGAGAACAGGTTCAACAAGTTTTAATTTAATATATTCTTTAATAATTATAGAAGTAATATATCGAGTTTAGTCGGATGACCACGGGTTCGGGTGACCCAAAATTAGTACATAAATTCGCCCCTGTATGAATTGATATATAATGATATACCTTGAAAATTATTTGAAATAAGTAATTAATGTTGAGGATAAAATATAGAAAATAAAAAATAAAAAATTCTTCATGATATGCTAGTGAAAAGTAAAAGTAAAAATATATTTTTAATATAGTGGACAATAGATGTAAACGGGGGGATTCTACTATATGTAAATGGTAAGATTCACCCAAACATTCAAAGAACGAAGAAATTTTTTTTAGCAACTCCGTATTCTTTTTGTTGACATAAAAAAAAAATAAAGAAAATGTTTGTCACTCATTTCATTTAGCTTTGAAGTTATTTGTTTGACTATAAAAATTACGATTCATATTTTCTTCAAAATAAATTTTAATCCAAAGTTAAGTGTGCTTGGACGAGAGTAGTACTAGGATGGGTGACCCCTTGGAAAGTCCTCGTGTTGCATTCCTCTTTTTTGTCGAAATTCGATTGTGAAAATTTAAAATTTAATTTGAAGTTATGTTGAAAATTTAGAAAACAACTTATAGTTTATTTTCTAACTCACTTTTAAAATAGCAGTACATTCAAATACAAAAATTATTTCAAAACTGTAAAAAAGAAAGTACATAATCAATTACCATAAAAAAATTGAAGAATTTTCGCATATAGTCACTCAAAAATAACTTAATTATGTTTTATAGCTATAGTTTGCTAATTACGATTCATAGTTACACGTTAGAGGGAGGAAAGAGACGAGTGAGATTGGGAGAGGAAGGAGAGAGGCAAGCGAGAGAGAGCGGAGAGTGGAGAGAGGCGAATTGTATATGTATATATGTCGAATTGTATATGTATATCTGCCAAATAATTGTATATATGTAACTGGTATACATATGTATTTTCATATTTGGCGAGTGAGATTGGGAGAGGTAGGAAAGAGGCGAGCGAGAGAGGACATATAGTGGAGAGGAGTGAACTGTATTTGTATATCTATTAGATAATTATATATATGTAATTGGTATACATATTTATTTGTATATCTGGTGAGCGAGATTGGGAGAGGGAGGTGAGAGGTGAATTGAATTTGTATATCTGTCAAATAATTGTATATGTACATGTATAATTTGTATTTGATAAATTTGTGAATGTATAAAAGAGGAGAGAGGCGAGATAGAGGAAGAGAGGAACGAAGCAACATAATTTTAACTAAAATTAAGTTGTGAGCCGTAATTAATTCAAAGTATAACTATGCTAGCTAATTAACCAGTATATGTTTGTTATCCGCGTAATTTCCCCTAAAAGATTTAGGGCATGTTTGGAAGGACACATTGGTAATTGAATTTGGTGTAATTGGGTGTAATTACATTGTCTGTCCTGTTTGGTTGGACATGTAATTACTTGATCAGTAGGTAATTGGTGTAATTGACAGGGGGTAATTACACTCTACAATTCACAGGCAGAGGCTGTGAATTGCTGGTAATTACATGGTGTAATTACTAGTTGATTTTTTTTTTTTATTTCTATTTTCATTTTTTTTGTTTTAGTATTTTTTACTTCTATTATTTTAAGTTCCTTTTTTATTTTTATTATTCTAAAAATTTGTAAAAGTTTATTTTTATTTTATATTATTATATTTCATTTTCTTCTTGTTCTCAACCTTACTTTACGTGATTCTATGCAATTTTTTGTATTATCTATTTCTTTATGTCAGGTTTATTTTCTCATTAGCATAATTTTATTAGTATTCTAATTTTTAAATTAAAATAGAATTTATTGTTAAGTTAGGTTATAGACTTACGTTTTCTTTAATTAAAAAAAAAAAAATACATATTATGCATGCTATGTTGAAATTTGTTATAAGAGTATTAAGTTAAATTTTTTGTTTTGAATTTATAACTTATGTTATATTTTCAGTTTCATTTGTTTTAGTAATATTGAATTCACATACGTCATTTTTTAATTAAAATTGATAGATTATATTTTTGTCAAATATTTAATAATTTATGACATTTTATTCATATATTAATATTTTTATCAAACATGCATTTCACAATGTTCGTAGAAACTTCATACTTTTAATTTTTACGATCAATTCAATTGAAATATATTAATTTGAAAAAATATAAATCAATTATTTTTTCATAATATTAGTTAAAGAAAATATGTTTATTAATTAACTTATTTTCAAAAAAGAATATTTAATTTAATGTCATTTATAAAGTTTCTTATTTGTCTAGTATAAATTTTAAATAATTAATTTTTATTTTTAAAATTTAATATAATTTTATGATTGTAATTATGCATCCAAACAGAACATGTATAATTACATTGTGGCATTCAAACATGACATGTGTAATTACAGTGTGGCAACCAAACAGGCCAGTGTAATTACTAAACTAGTAATTAATTACTACACTAGTAATTAATTACTACACAAGTAATTACATCAATTCCAATTACCAGATGGCTTTTCAAACAGACCCTTAATGTTATTGAGCTGGTGCGGAGCACAGGCTACCGTAACTAGTATATATATATATATATATATATATGAAGAACTAAAACAGTACAAAATCCCTCCATTTTGAGAACCATTTTGATCATACCCTCCTTTATTCAAATTTAGCCCAGCTGACATGCTCTGTTTTCCCTCAAAACTCAACTAAACTGAACCGACAATCTTGATTTTCGCCAGCTCGTTGCAACAAATGGCAGCAGTTGAACATTCAATATCGTACAAATCAGGATAACAGACATGGTCCATTGTCAAGAGAGAATCTAAACTAAGTTGAAAAGTCCATGTCAACCATCTTTGCCGCAAAACCTTGATAAAACTTCCCCTTCAATTTCAGTTCACCTCACTTTCTCATCAAACAATGGCGGCCCATTTTGCCCTCTTCACTATTACCATTACTCTGTTAATCGCCGTTGCCGTTGCTGAAATCCGATCAACCCAGATCAGATCCGATTCACGCTCTACAATCCCATTTGATGAATTTGGTTACACCCATATGGGCCGTTTAAACCTCACCGTCACCGACATCTCTTTCTCCGCCCAGAAAACCCCTTTGTCCCAATTAGGGTTCTTCCTCTGTACCCTAGACGCGTGGGTACACGTGCTTGAACAACTCCAAGAAGGCGAAATTCATTGTCCCCTTGAATCCAATCTCATACAAAAGGTCTTCACTTTCGACCAATTGGAACCATCGACCCGTGAGTTCTCCACCTCCTTCATCGTCCCCGATGCCAATCAATTCACTCTTGCGTTTGCCAATTGTATGCCGAATTTGGAAGTTTCTATGAATGTCCACTCTGTTATGTACAATTTCAACCCTAAAACTGGGGAGCTTGATTTTCTATCAACAGGCAAAACTGCACTTCCCGTGATATATTTATTGTTTTTTATAGTCTATGTGTTGTTAGGGGCTGTTTGGATTTACACACTTTACAGGAAAAGGTTAACTGTTTATAAAGTTCATTTCTTTATGCTTGCGGTTTTGATATTAAAGGCATTGGATTTGTTATGTGAAGCTGAAGATAAATCGTATATTAAGAGAACAGGAACTGCTCATGGATGGGATGTTTTGTTCTATATATTTAGTTTCTTGAAGGGGATTACTTTATTTACCTTGATAGTTTTGATTGGAACTGGTTGGTCATTTGTGAAGCCGTATTTGCAAGATAAAGAAAAAAAGGTTTTGATGATTGTTATTCCATTGCAAGTTGTGGCCAATGTTGCACAAGTTGTGATTGATGAAACTGGTCCGTTTGGTGAGAGTTCGTATACATGGAAGCAGGTTTTCCTTCTTGTAGATATTGTGTGTTGTTGTGCTGTGTTATTTCCTATTATGTGGTCGATTAAGAACTTGCGCGAGGCAGCCAAGACTGATGGGAAAGCTGCTGTGAATTTGATGAAGCTGACATTGTTCAGGCAGTATTACATTATTGTGGTATGTTACATATACTTCACGAGGGTTGTTGTTTATGGTTTGGAGATCATTACCTCCTATCGGTACCAGTGGACCAGCGTGGTGGCTGCTGAATTGGCTACACTTGCCTTCTATGTATTTACTGGGTATAACTTTAGGCCTAAAGTGCATAACCCCTATTTTGCTATTGATGATGAAGAGGAAGAAGCTGCTTCAGAGGCACTCAAGCTTGAAGACGAATTTGAATTGTGATCAGCATTGTAAGAAGGTAATTTTATACAGCCAAAGGAGAAAACTACACTATTCGAATATGCTTTTTTTACATTTTAGAAACGATTTCTAGGTTGTCGTAAGTTCCTCTGTATAGTACAGTTATAAGGTTCACCATATCTTACTTCATTCAACAGGGAAAACTGCTTTGCATAGCTTTATTGCAAGTACCTTCCTTAGTGCTTTGAAGAATTTTGTTTTACATTTGGGAGTATTTAGTGTTACTTGTTGATTGTCAAATTCAAAAAGTTGGTACCAAAATATCTGTTAAGTTTGCCATAAGCTTCTTGTGGTAAAAAAATATGAGATGCTGTTTTTCTACTGCTCCAGTAGCATTATGATACAATGAATGTGAAGTAAAGGTTGGAGGGTTGTTCAGTAGTAACACGGTGTAGTCTTCAGAGTAAGCCATAGTCTTGACACGACATATTTAAGATCATATGATTAAAGAATGTTTTGGTACATTCTACGTACTCCAGCTTATGCTACTATCCAAAGCCAATGTCTCTTTCCCTTTTTGAAACTTTTTATTTTCAATTTTCCACACGACATATTTAAGATCACATGATTAATGAATGTTTTGGTACATTCTACGTACTCCAGCTTATGCTACTATCCAAAGCCAATAGCTCTTTCCCTTTTTGAAACTTTTTATTTTCAATTTTCCACACGACATATTTAAGATCACATGATTAATAATGTTTTGGTACATTCTAAGTACTCCAGCTTATGCTACTATCCAAAGCCAATCTCTCTTTCCCTTTTTGAAACTTTTTAATTTCAATTTTCCGCATGACATATTTAAGATCACATGATTAAAGACTATTTTGGTACATTCTACGTATCTTTATTTTGAGACCACAAAATTCAAGTCTTCTTTATATTTTTAAACTTTGTGTTATGTCAAAACCAAACAAACAAATTGAAACATAAGGAGTATAATAATTGTTACTGATTATGTAAAAGGATAAATCGTCAAGGTTTCTTCAAAGTATAAAACTGTAAATCTTAAATTAGTCGAAGTGTATCCAAGTGTTCAAACACATGATTTATAAAAGAAAATTTGGGAAATGTTAGAGCTACTTCTTCAATCTTGAGAAGTAGCCTCCTTCACTATATAGTTACTCTATCCATGTTTTTGTAACAATCTCAAACTTATGATTCTCGATATCGGTTCATAATTAATGCTTTCTACTCTTTGTTTATCTATTGTTGTTAATTATATACTTAAACATCATCAATACACATATTTGGCAAGTAAAATGTGTACTATTTGTTAAGGTCATGCCTATATTTTGTAATGAGATATTTCACTTCTTAAATTAAAAATGTACCACCTACAAGCTGAAAGAATGATACAATATATGTTTCTACATATAACCATCAACTGTTGAAATGGCCCAGTTGGTCTAAGGCGCCAGATTAAGGTTCTGGTCCGAAAGGGCGTGGGTTCAAATCCCACTCTCAACATTTGTAGTTTTTTTTTCCCTTTCGTAGAATATTTAGTAAACTTTTATTTTTTGTTTTTTTGTTCTTTCGTAGAATATTTAGGTTCATATCACATTTTGAAAAAAGAAAATGGCAAACAAGTTAAGTCACCCAAACTAGAGGTCATAATTTAAAATTGTTCAACTTACATTAATTTTTGCATACATAAGAACAAATATTGGCAAATATACTTGTTTGATCATCATCCGTAAAACAAAAGGGTTTGGTGCTCTCTATTTAATAATAATATCTTGATCGGCATTCATCTTGATTTCGGCCTTTATTTTCTTTTCTTTGAAGCGATTGACCTGACCGGCTTGAAACTTGATTTGATTATCTAAGGAATTAAAAACTTGATTTTTTCATTCCCCCCTCCCTCAAAACGAAAAACTCACAAACACTACTGGAACGGCACGACAGCAATACCATAACAGATATACTTACCGACAAGAGAGAACCTCACTATATGTGAAAAAATAAGCATTCTCGCCAGAAAAAACCCATAAAATTCGTCTTTGATCCACCAATAGGTGCTTGTAATTTTAATTTCTATTTAATAAGAGTATGTTCAATATGCAAGTAAAAAATATTATTTTAAAAGTATTTATATTTATATATATATAAAAGTAAAAACTAGGCAAATGACATAGTATAAGAAAGAAATTACTTCATTTCCCTACTCTTTCATTAATTTACCAAAAAATCCCCTTTTTTAGGGTTTTTCGGATACATAATATAGCAGTGTGGATACTTAATATAGCAGCGAGGATACTTTAATTAATAACGGGCGGATACTTAAATTATTAAGTTGTTAGCAGCACAGATACTTAATTAACGGGCGGATGCATAATATATCAGCGCGGATACTTTAATTAATAACGGGCGGATACTTAAATTATTAAGTTGTTAGCAGCACAGATACTTAATTAACGGGCGGATGCATAATATATCAGCGCGGATACTTTAATTAATAACGGGCGGATACTTAAACTAATAAAGTATCCGGTTAAGTTGAATTGGGGGAAAATAAGGGATTTTTGTATTTTAATGAAAGAGTAGGGAAATATTGAGAATAGGTAAAGAAGTGTTGTGTATTTAAGTAATTTTTCCTATATATAATCTAGATAAATATCATGAAATGTGAGGGTTGAGACGCTATGGGGTCCAACTAAAGATATCATGTGTTGGAAAACAGAGAAAGACAGAAATGCCACTTACAAAACTGTTCTATCCTACTTTTACTAGGAAAGTTATTTTCCTCATTTTTAAGAAACGTATTTTCCTTTAGAAAAATTGTTTTCCAAAAAGTTCAACTAAATCACTAATCCTAGGATAAATTTACCTCAAACTTAGGTGTTATTTTATCCCATATGAGGAGATGAGATAAATTGATCCCAGGTTTATAATCCCGAGATAACTTTGTCCGCAAACCAAACGACCCTTTTATTTGTCAACTTTCCTCAAGTATAGACATATTAGAAGTTGTGAAGTACATCTAAGTCTTTGTAGTGAAAATCAAAACAAGAAGAGATGTAACAATTGAACCAAATTCCCCAGGAAAACATGTTTTGAAGAACCAAATGACATAGCAGAAAGCCAAGTAAAAAGAGCCAAACACATAGGAGGATCGAATTTCGACAAAGTTACTGATAAATATAACTGTAAATTAAGAACATCCATCTAGTATTGGTACCCAGGCATTGTCTATAGAAACATAATATACCAAACTTAAATTAATAAATCTACTTACCCCCTCATAAACCAGTCCAACTCTATAAGCTTAATGATTAGAAATTCAAAAGACAAATGCCACAAAAGTACTCTAATACTATATGTAGTATATATTTAGATATGCTTATAAGCAAAAGACCAACTGAAAAACAATGCCAAAGTGATTGACCAGAGCACTGCTTAACGAGGAAAACGCGGACGCACAGGAGTCTTTGATGGGCTTACCCTGCATACACCATATATATATATAAAGATACAAATGAGAATCTCTGCAAATATGAGAGGAAGTTCTATGGAATCAGAAAGTAACCTTATGGGAAGTGATCCCAGGATTGCACCACTGCAGTTGAGTGCCATAATTGCGCTCTCTGCCTGAAACAGAAGAAAATTAACATGAAACCATACATAAAGTGCGGCAAGGGAAAGTTGTACCAAAATCCATCAAGGAAATACGATGACACGAATAAAGAATTAGTAAAATGGAACAGTTCAAAATTTTCTATTCTGAAATCTAATGAATATGCTACAAATGACAAAAGAAAATCTTCAGGAACTGAGGAATGTTGAGATCACAGCAAGCCACACCACGCACAGTCGCACACTAATATCAAATGATATTCTAACAAAGGCATCACGTAGGTGTTGTCTGCAATGAAAATAAGCTGCAGAGTCGGAGAAAAATAGAAGACAAATAATAGACAAGAAGAACAGACACAAGTATGTCATTTCCAAACTAAAAAGTGTTGTCCCGTTATATAAGACGCATCTCCTACTAATAAAGACAAAACGTAAACTGAAAGTGTGTCACTAAAGAAAATCAGCATGTACTCTAAAGTTAATGATCTCATTTTTGAAACAAACATTTCCGACAAATAACAGAAAACAGCTTCTGGAATTCATCAGATGAAAACCTCAAATGCAGACACAGAATCCAGTAAACGGAGAAATTTATAGAGGATTTTAACATATCCCTACCAATTCTTAACCCCTAAGAAGGATAGGATACAGTGGAAAAAGAAGAAACATACTAGTTGAAAGCAAATCATGAACTGAAAAGGTACAAATCAATAAAAAGCAGGACCTGCATTTTTGGTCTTGATTAATATTATCGATTCTTTTGGACAAACTGTACCAAAAACACATAGCTCTTATATTTTTTTATCAAAATAACAGGTCTGCATCTATGTAAATTGAGAAGTCCGAACTAAAGGCAAGAGCTTAAAAGTTGTTCACAGACAGAAGCAAAAGTTCCGGGGACTGCTCATGAGAGATTCTGTTGCCACTTCCTATAAATCTGATTCCTCACCAACAAGTCCACTTGAGTTGGTCGGGCATCAAAAACATCATGATTGCAATTTTTCCTTGTTTCTACTTCTCTAGATTCTAAGGCTTCTGATATCTCTAGCTGCTGCAGATGAGCTACATCAAGACTTACCTGTGTAGATAGCAACTAAATATAGTCGGATGCCTGTTCAACTGATCAAATAGACAGAGAAGCAAATTTTGTTTCTGCTTGTCTTGAACCCCTTCAGCAAGGTCTTTTAATTTCCGAAATTTTGTTTCTATGTAGAACAAGCTCCTTCAAATTGCTTATAGTACTGAGACCCTCCATTTCTTTATTTTCAAAGGATGCAGCTTTCCTGTTCGTTTTTTCTATTATAAGTCCAACAATAAAAACTAATTCAATATGTATAAGATCCACAAGTCAACCTGAATCAACCATAATCCTTCATGTCAATGAAGCGCAAAAGGTGAAAATGAGCCAGTTTAATCTCGTTAACAGAGGATGAATTCTTCTCAGCCCACGTTATTTTTTGTCAAGCATATTAATCTCATTCATCTCACTTTTTCTACAGTGGAAATGGTCAATGTAGTCATAAAAAAAGATAACTATTTTTGATAAGTAAAATCAAACTGTGCACCTCTCTCATTTCATCTGCTAGTTAAGGAATTAAAGGAATACTCCCACCAAGAGTAACTCTACCTGCACTATTGAGTACCTAAAGTAGGAAAACTAAACTGCAACTGGCTATCAATAGACCTACATTATCAATTAACCTGCAGATAAAGGACCTTGCTAAGCCAAAGAAAGGTTTCACTATAGAGAAACTTGCTCACAGAACACTGTAAATCTCAGATGGCTAACAAAATTAGAGTTAGTTAGTGGTGGCAAAGAACGACAGCAGTATATGCTTATACTGGGATAGCAGGAGCAAAGAAAGAAAAATTTAAGCCAAAACTCAGTTGTATGTGAATTCATTTTAGAATTCATAGGGGTGACCAATGCTAGCGACATTTTGAGTTAATGCAACAAATTCAAATAGGGACCAGAGTTGGTGTTTCTACACTTTTTTGACCGCAAGAGAATCACACAACATTCAAATAAGACACAGAGTTCCCATTAATGTGACAAAAATGTTGTAAAGGAAAAACTTCTTCAGGGACTCAACAGATGAAACCTATAAGAGGGCTTGGATGAAAAAATTTAGAATTTTCAACAAGGCACCACCTGGGAAGTGGCTATAAAGATTTAGGATTGACGATTAGGCATTACGAATGGAGGTGATAGCAAGATATACAGAGTCGTGGAAAGGAAATGGAGGCTAGAACGTAAAATTACCTTATAGATATGTCTTTTCAGCAATATCATAAAGGGTTAAGAAGAATTTAGCAACTTTGTTACCTATTAGGTAGGAAATGAAAGAAGAGTCTTGTGGGATCAACAGTGGTCATGGAGAGAGCATGTTAATGATGACCATCCCTAACTCATTCACAAGTTCATGCAAAAAAGAGATGATGCCAACAAATCCAGGTGGTACAAGAGGGTTGGGTTCATGAGACTGGTGAATCAAAACAAATCTAAAAGATTGGGCAGTAGTGAAATCCAAAGATTGATGGGAATGTTCTATTCTCGGGATAGCACTCACTGGTCAGGACTTGTGAAGGTGGGAGAAAGAAATGATGGTGCGTTTTCACAGAAGTCGTTGGTCAAAAAATGTCGGGCTCAATGAAAGATGCATTCAAACTAGGCTGCTAGAAGAAGGAAGAGAAGATGCAGGGCACGGGATGTTGCCCCGCTAGCCATCATGTGGGGTTAGAAAGAAATAGGAAAGCTGTTGAGGGGTTAGAAAACTATTTTATAAATTTGAGGAATAGCCTAATACTCCCTCCGTTTCACAAAGAATGACCTGGTTTGACTTGGCACGGAGTTTAAGTAAATAAAGAAGACTTTTGAATCTTGTGGTCCTAAATTAAAGTTATGTCAAATGTACAAAACTGCCCTTAATCTTGTGGTCTTAAACATGCCACGTGGAAAGCAAAAAGTAAAATGTTACCAAAAAAGGAAAAAGGTCATTCTTTTTTAAACTGACTAAAAAGGAAAGGAGGTCATTCTTTGTGAAACGGAGGGAGTATTAGTTAGTTTTTGGTGCACCTATTAAGTTCTTGTGGCTGTCTGTGCAGAAGATGTACAAACCATATTACTGTGTAAGTTCTCTACTTTTTAGTATAGATTGTAGATAACCATGTTACTGTGTAGGTTCTCTACTTTTTAATATACATCTTCTTACGGGAGCTATCCCACATTAATTCAACTACTTACCCTCTCGGAACCACAAGAGCAAAGTAAAAGAGATAACACATTTTGAGCAGATAAAATGCTAAAGACAAGCATTTGCAAATAACAGGATCCGACATTGATAGCAACTATTGGAAGTTACAGTAGCTTTGATGATAGTAAGAAGAAGAGGTCCACAACTCAAGTTAATATAAACAGCAATGAAAAGTCAGAAGCTCATGAAAGTTACCATGACAAACTCAACAAAAGCTATACGAGTCGAATGTTGATAGTCACCAAGCAACCTCAAGCGATGAACCTATGTTAGAGAAGAAAATCCATAACATAGAGTTAGGATTTAAAAAGGAACAGCATGTCAGACTTGTTACATGAGCAGCTACAAACCTCTCCACAGAAGGACTCAAAGAACAGCTTGACATCTGCTTGAGTAACCTGCTTCATACAAACATACAAGTCGTAAATATTTTTCTTCATTGATGTCCATCAAAAAAGTAAAATTGTAAACCCAAAATACCTTCTTATCAATATTTGTACAGTATACAGTTCTAGCACACATCTCTCTTTCATCTTCAGACTAACATCAGCGGAAAAGGTGAAAAATTTAGTATTAGCAGCACTAAGTATGCATTTGTCACTCCTAGGACATTGTTACAAAAGGTAAACTACATCTAGCCAAAATTTCTCACCCTTGGAAGAAAGGTTGGATTAACCGGTGCAATCGCAGTTTTAGAAGGAAGCACTCTCACAGGATAACACCCAAGGATAGTTCCTGCAAGACTCAGAGCACTCTTTGCACCTTCTGCATAACATATTGGGGAAAATGTGGTGTTAGAGAACAAGCGCCCTAACGATCTAGCCAGAATATATAAACGAATAATCATGTGTCAACCTACCTTCATCTGTAAACTCAATAAAGGCGAATCGAAGTACAGAATTGGTGTCACCACATATACGACAGTCGACAACCTTCAACACATCAATGCTAGTCAAGTTATGGAAACAAAGCATTTCCTCAACATAATTGAAAGGCAAAACAGTGACAACGAATAAGTACAGAAGCTTGACATAATGGATAGATATCCACCTGTCCACAATCAAGAAAAAGTGATGCGAGCTGCTCTTCAGTCACCTACACAAAAGAAGAAACAGAATTATTAAAATAAAAAAGATGAAGGTGCAGTAACCCAATTAACAATAACACCGGACCTCTCTTTTTTACCTGATGATCAAGGTCAGATACATAAACCGTCCTCCTTATAACATCTTCCCTTTGGGCCATGCCTGTTCGGGTATTCATCCTTCTCCTTCCATAACCGTAGCCATTTTTCTTCTGCACGCACAATTTAAACTCCACTAATCAGCTCAAACTCACAGACGTAAATATATTACCAAAAGAAAAAAACAAGGAAGATTTCTTTTTCCGAAATAAATGGTAAAGAAAGATATAAAAGAAACTCAACACCCTTCACTTTAACACTAAAATGACTAAAGCCCTCCTATGACTTTTATGCAAAATAACAATTGGACTATATGAAATGTCCTCCAAGTGATCATCTTACCTCTACTATACTAAGATAATTCTGAAAAGTAAATAATGTTCAGAGTGGAGAACCTAACATATACATATTCCATCGCAAACAAACAAACAAATATAAATTATCAACTTTTGCTTTAGACCAAACAAAAACATGATAAATTAGAAAGGAAATAATGACTAATTGACATCCTTCATCTTGAAATTTCATAAACTCCTGAGATATAAAGAGATCAAGACATCAAATACTGTCTTTGTCAAAGCTGCAACCCAATGTTCCTAGCGATCAAATACATTGCAAGTAAGTTCAAATCATCCTAAATTCGAGAAACACACTACTAACAAACCTCGATTCATGGAGAAAATTCATCAAAAAAATCTCTATTCTATCAATAAAAATAAGTTCATACCCTTCTGTTGGAATTTCCATTGGCCTCAGTCTGCATTAGAAAATTGTTAGCATCAAAGCCAAAATGCACTGCGCCAGGTGTAAATGGCACTAGCATGCTGTTGTTAGCCATTGAAGGAGGCACAAACTCTTCAGCCATGGGATTCAATTTGGAAAGCATCTCTTCTAAATCCCTCATCTCCCTCTTAAACCCTTCATCACCACCATCAACCACCCCTCCATTCCTTAAATCAACACCGTTCATTTTCTGATGCTCATGCTGAATACTATGATTACCCAATACTCCATTACCATTGACGCTTTGCTCTTTCTGCTGAATTCCATTATCTTTCTGGGGTTCTTCCTGCTGCTGCTGCTGCTTAACAGACATAATTTCAAAATTCTGATCGTTGTTCTGTTTCGTTTTCACTGACTGATGATCAACAACAACATCTTTCTGTACAATTCTTCTGGGATTCGATGAGACAACAACGTTAATAGCAGCATTCTCAACCACAGCCATGATTATTCAAGAATGCTCCTTTTTCTCTTCTTCTTCTTCTACCCTTCTTCCGTTCTATCAAAAACCCATCAACAAAAATAAACAAAAGATAACTTTTTTTTCAAGAAGATCAAATTGGGTTTATGAATTTATTACTAAATCGAGAAATAAATACACGAAATCGTACCTGATATTCTCTAATTGACACCCATTCTTCTAATACAAAAAACAGAGCATCAGCTACAAAATGAAAAATCAAAAAGCTATGAACAAAACAAGAAATGATTCTTTGTTTCTCTGTTGGAGTGTGTAGTGTGTTATTTTTACTGATTCTGCAGAGAGAGAGAGAGAGAGAGAAAAGATATGAAATAGTGCTAAACTCCACTAGTTTATAGCAGGAGAGAGAAGAAAGAGGTGGGTTGTTCGGATCGTCCGTTTTGACACACTTCCTTTTTGGACTTTGTTCACACTACCTCCCAAAATCTCATTTATTTTCGAGCTAGTTAAAATTATGCAAATATTAATAATATAAATATAAGTTATTCATGTATATAAATTTTCTTACGTAACTTATATATATGTGTGTGTTAGTTATACTCATTAATATATAACACCTTCATAACTCATGTACAAACTAACTACAAAACAAACCTTTAGAGTTTTTTTTTAAAAAAAAATAAGAGTTAAAATCAACATTATCATTATGTTTATTACTCCCATCTTTTAACTTATCTTGATATTATGACGCTTCATTATAATAATATCGTTTGTTCGAATATTTTTTTACTATCATAATCTGATTTAATAAAATTTCTTTATAATAATGTTATTTGTCTAAATATTTGTTAATTGCTATAGTAAAATATTGTTATACAAAATATATAATATAGCATAACATGAAAATACCAAGTCTTTTATTATTTTTATTTTTCAATTTATCGATCACTTAGTTATACACTCCTTGTAAAGAAATATAATATGTCTTAATGTTTGGTTTAAATGTTGAGAAAATCTTTTAATAAATGCTAAGCAATAAATATAAATGGTTCCACATGAATCCTCCGCCTAATACCATTGAAAATTGTGGCATGGTATAGTAAATATTTCTTTATCTTTAACTCAAAAAAGTCTTAAATTGAAATTTCATTTTTAATTAAAAGTTTTAAATTTTCATTTCATTTTTAATTGAAAGCCTCAAATTTGTGTTTTGGGTATAAAGTCATTAATACCTCTAAAGTAAGCCTTTACCAAAGTAAATAAGAATTAGTCAAATTTTAAAATTAGTACCTTAGACATCCATTAAGAAAACAAAAAAATAAATTCTCTACATAATGTCAGTTCTTATTGAAATACAAGGTCGTTCAAAGAAAGTATATTATAACATGGCAGTATTTAAAGATATTTTGGTTTTAGCATCCAAATCATATAAAGTCAAGTGAAAGATATTATAATAATCAAAGGAAACGTGCATTAAATTGCGAATTTCAATATTTTCAATTTTAAATTTATTCAAATTTTGTGAGTTTGCTAGTTTTTAAAATTGTGCGTATAAATTAATATTTTAAAAAAATATATTCAAACTTTAAATATTCTTTATAAAAATATGATCATATATAACTTGAGCTTTAAAAATTATGAATAATATAAATAATATTTTTTTTTTATGATCAAAAGCTCACTTAATTATTATAAATATAATTGTTATGTAAACATTAATTAGTATCTATTTTAAGAACCCTATATATCTACGATTAAAATTAGCTTCTGTGTTTATCAACCATGTTAAAAAAGAAAAAGTTAGATTTGGTGTCCCTTTTACTTTTTTCCATCTATAATACAGTAATCTACATATTAACGTAAGTAATGATCGCGTGTGATATTATTATGAGTTCATCAATTAAAATCAATCATAATTTAAAGAATTAAATATTTTTGAATTTCATATATAAATTATTGAAAGTATGAGTTTCTTATCAGAATTATCACTTAATAGTTAATGAGACATATCTCGACTAGTTTCTAGGATGTGTGCACTCTCTATTTTGTTTAAAAAATTTGTCAAGTGTCCCTCCACGTGAAAAAGGCAAATTTAAATAAATTAATATTAGTTTAAAAGTAAAAACCACCTTATAAATTATTTTATTTCAATCGTGACATATGTCATCTTCTTTCCCACCTTCTTAGTAGTGGTC